AGGAATGGGGAAGGCACCATTAAAGTGCAGCATATTTCCATAAAACACTTGAAGGCGCTATACTAGCCGCACACCTTCAAAAAAGCTGTAGATGGTGTCAAATCAACATGAAGGCGCGAGTCGCCTTCAATATCTTTTCATTTTTTTTTGGAAACCAAAAATGCATTGTAGACAGCACCATTTTGCGTTTTTACATAAAAGAAATTTGACAGTCCCATTTATTGGACTGGGCTCTCATTTTGTCTCATTTCAAGAAAATCCTCTCCCATTGTCTCAACCGCATAAACTTCCTTTTCCTTTAACTTTCAAGCCTTCTGGATCCCTTTAAGAAAAAAAAAGAGCAGACTGCTTTGCCAAAAAGGAGTCAGAGAACGAAGTTTTCTTTGGTGATGTCTAAATTTCTCCAGTAGCTTGCCTTTAGCAGTTTCTGCCAATTGTTTGCCTGCTTAATATTTGCTCTCCTAGGACTCCAGTCACCCGGCTCTGAAGAGATTTATGTTTGTTGATACTTAGGTTATTTTTCCCCTTAGTTATTTTTTGTTTAAACTTGTATTTTTGCCATAAAATGGATGTTCNTTATAGTATAATTATTTTTTGGTGAAGAGATAAGAGAGCTAGACACTGGCCATTTATTATACAATGACATATTCTCACATTAGATTTGATCAGAGAATGGCTTACTTATATGGATTGAATATCTTGCTGTCTTGGTCCGTGCAAACAGTATATGACCGTGGTTGTTTGCAGTTTAATGCTCGGTCTGAATCAATAAAGGAGAAGGCTTCATTTCGCCGCCTTGTCCCGAAGAATAGGTGCCTGGTGGCAGTTGAGGGGTAGGTTCTTTCATCAACTATAATAAGTCCATGAGAGTATCCATTCTGTATGCTATCTACTTTTGTCTGCTTCTTTTCCCATAGCTGACATCCTCTATCTCAAACTGATATTTTTCTTTATAACAGACAAGTAATCAAAAACTTTCAGTGAGTGGGACTTACCTAATTTTGCTTCCAAAAAAGAAAAGTAGAAGAAATACTAAAAATTAGAGGACATTGTGGAGAAACCCAAAGCTTTCTTTTTAATGGATTTCTTTTTGAAATGGAAATTTTTGTTTTTTCAAATGGATTTTTTTGTTTTTTGAAATGGAGTGGTGAAACCAAAGCTTCTTTCATGTAAATTTCTCTTCTGTGTTCAGAATAGCAGAATTTGTCCCAATTGCAATGTCAATGGTTCTCAGTGATGCTATATTCTTCAGATTTTATGAGTGGAAAAAGGATGGATCGAAAAAGCAACCTTATTACATACATTTTAAGGATGCTCGGCCCCTGGTGTTTGCTGCCCTTTTTGACTCTTGGAAGAATCCTGAAGGTGAATTACCATCATTTTTAGGGTGTCTCATAGTGTGAGTTACTAGTCGCAATCACTAACATCATCCTAATTCATGATCTGTCTATTTCTATTTAAAAATTTTATCGCATCCAAAATTGAATTCGGAATTACAACTTTGAATATCTTGCTAATGACTAGCTGTAGGCCTTTCAATTTTATTTTATATATGAGCCAGATAACTATATGCAGATATTTCTCTCTTTATATTAATTCTCTACTTACCTTATGGATCTGAAATACTGCACTTGCGAGATAATGGATAATGCTCCAACTTGATGCGTTCTTTTATACTTATTCTAGTTAGCAAATTACATCCATTGGATAACTTGAATGCTGCTGAGATTTGTTCCTTCTCGTAACACAGGAGAGGTTCTTTATACATTCACTATATTGACAACTTCGGTGTCTTCATCTTTAGAATGGCTCCATGGTTAGTTTTCTTTTATTGACTGTTGGTAAATTTTCCTTTATTCTTGATGTACATTTTACTCTAATTCTTGACCTTTTTATTGTAGAATGCAATATTCAAATAAAAATACCATAATCCTATTGATGACAAACAAAAGTCATAGAAAGCTATTTAACTTTTCATTATCAAAAGAAGAAAGTTATTTAACTTTTCAAAAATCCTTTACTTTCTTCGTAGAAAATATCTTAGTTTCACCATTTTTAGGTAACTCGCTGGTTTCAAACTGGAAAGCTGTCAGAAAACAAAAGCGCTCTAATGGATATTTCAGGCTATTCGTTTCTTACTATCCTAAAAAGAAGAAAAGAGAAACGTGAGATAACTGTACTAAATATAATGGCATACATAAAGTTGACGAACATAAGGAGGCTTTACTGAAAGAGGAAAACAACAAAAAGTTACACTAGAATAATTGTTCTCTTTCATAGTCTTTAATATCATGTTTATACAATTATCATGTGAGGAAATATATTGAAGCATTATCAATCTTTAGATAATATGTGATGAGATTGTGTGGTGATCATCACAACATCGATGGTGTAAAAATTTCTCAAAATGTTACATGTTAATGATTTTTAGCACTAGATTATTCTGCACTAAATGCTATTCTGTATTTAAAGGATTTTGTATAGAAACTCTAGTTTTTTTTCATCATTTTATGTTAATACCACATGCACTAAAAAATTAACATGCATACAAACTAGTTGATAAAAAGAATATTGACTTACAAATTTAATATGATCGAGCGAACCATAACACGGTGGGATATATTTGATTTGTTTAATGAATTAAAATTTGGGAAATTGTTAATTGTACTATTGTATAAAACATATTGTGATATATTCAGGGAACTGTATTGCTGCATACAAAGGAATGGAGACGGTGAATTACAACTTATATGACCGTAATTTCTGTTTTTATTTTCCCTAGCTCCATGGTTGGAGCTGCGGTTGTGGATGTGAGAAAGGAATGAGATTTAATTAAAGGAGCCTGCCTTGAAAAAGTTTTTTAGACTGTTACAGATGTTTGATCAAGAACATTGCTATATAGTAGTTAGTGCTTTGCCCTCTGAAATGTCTGGTGTGGCATCATTGACTTAGGATGCTAGACACCTAAAATCACTGGGTTGATGGGAGTTTAACGAACTAAATGGACATGTTGACTCTCACTTTTTAACAGAAGGATTTTACAGGTTGGTAGGGGTAGCATGTGAATAGACAATACAAACATGTTTATTTATGGGGGATATGCCATAACTAGCAGAAGATTCCTATATAAGGAGTCTGTCTCGATTATTAATCACTGATTCAAGACAAGTTCTATCTCTTGTTTCACAAAGGAAAAAAGAAATCTTTATCTCAAAGTCATATCAGGGATATGTGGAAAAATAAGTTTTCTCAAACCGAGTATGTGCCCTTTCTAGCTGGCTAGCATCATATTTTCGGGTGAGAGATTGGAGAATAATTTAAGTGGAAACGAATGTTCAATTTTTTTTTGAAGATGACTTGTTGCAACTTCCTTTTCCAAATTGTGAAGATACTGACTTTTATTGCATGCCAAGGAGTCTCTTCCCATTTGTCTTATCTATATGACCGTCTTTGACTTTTGAGACCTAGCAGTTTGATTTGAAGCCAGATTCTATTTGTTATATTTCTGCTTTGAATAACACTTAAAATTTTGTATTTTAGACAGGATGCCTGTCATTTTCGGAAACAAGGATGCGGCTGATATGTGGTTAAGTAGTTCTCCGTCATCCAACATTGACATGCTATTGAAACCATATGAAGAGTCAGATTTGGTGATATTTCTAAACAATCAATCTTTAGGAAGAAAAGAGTGTCGAGAACTCGACTTATAAAAAATAAAATAAAATTTGTGAACTCGACATCTTCTAAAACTGTCTTTATTGCAGGCTTGGTACCCTGTGACACCTGCAATGGGTAAGACTTCTTTTGATGGACCGGAGTGCATCAAAGAGGTATTAATTGCTTTGTTGTTTTTCATACATTTCATGTTATGAGCCAACCTAGATCAGCTAAGAGCTTATGATAAACCTAACTTATCAAACCCTATATGTATGCAAGAGAACATAGTGCCTGGATGCCCCCAGGCCTTTGGTAAAATAACAAAGGTAGTACAACTTGGGATTTGTGGTAGGCGTATGCCACGAGTCCAAATCCTATATGGTGAACCAAGTTTAGTCATTAAGTGATAAAGTTTAAAAGCAGTTACCTATTGTTCACCAAGTTTTGAAGATGGGAGATAAGTGATAACAGATTTCTCAGTTATATAAAACAAAAAAAGGGAACATAGTGCTTGAGCTTGAATAAATCTATAATGCTCATCACAGATGTGTCTTTTCAAATTGTCAACTCACCAGCATCTTCAAACCCATCTGTGCTTAAGTTTCCTTTGTATAATAACCAGTCGCTAAGTCTCAAATAACTTTTCTTTTTCTTTTTAAGCTTTTCTTCTCCTTCTCAATCATATGGTTTCACAGCATCATCGGCAAGTTTGCGTCTGGTTGTAGTTCCAGATGGTTANATATATATATATATATATATATATATTCAGTGTATTTTTTTGCTGATAATATTCTTAAAAGAGACCACTTCCAATGGACATTGATGGCAGTTAATTGTTTTAAAGCAAAGATGATAGGTCATAGAATCAATAACGGGCATCTGACTTTCCGTATCTAGTTCATTTGTGTAAAGCACAGATGATAGCTGGTCATATAATACGAGCATGCTTCTTTTCCAGATGGTTGATCACTTTACATCCATGTCCGTACTCTGTCCTTGAGACACTAATTATTCCCGCTCACCCCCTTTTATACCCTATTAGATGCTAAGTCTGAATAATATCTCAGTCATTCCACGCTCTTTCGTTTTATATGGTTCATGAACCGTAGGAGATACGTAGGTGATGATTAATTAATAACTGCCTATTGTTTACACTTAAACCTGCAGTTGCAACTCAAGGCTACTGAGACCAGATCGATATCACAATTTTTCTCAAAGAAAGGAGAAAAAGACCTAAAGGAGCAGAAGCCTCATATCAAAGCAGAGGAAGAGTCCTTGAATACTGATCAGGCAGAGAGCTTGAAGCAGGAACCTGAATCAGACCATGTAGGCGATCAGCGTTCCCCAGACAAACCGGAGGTTTTTGCTTCTGCTGGGACCACAGACATAAAAGTTGAGCAAGACTTTGATGAGTCAGGTTGTAAACAGTCATTGACTGGTCAAACCGGAAATCCACCTGGAAAAGTAGGTAGTGTTGCCAGTGATAAGGCGAAAGGCTTGAAAGAGGAGTCTGAGGATATTAAACCAAATGTTTCTGTTCTGCCCCAGGAGGGAAGTGGGGATTCTGGAACCAAGAGAGACTATGAGGAGCTCTCAGGTAATGCAAGGCCTCTTGCTAAGGGGGCTAACAAGCACGTAAGCCCATCTCAAAAAAAAGCTAAAGGGGCTGGTGACAAACAGCCTACTCTGTTTTCTTTCTTTGGGAAAGGTTAGTTGCATGACATGCAACGCTTAGGAATGTACTGTATATAGTGAAGTTGGTATTTCTGTTGCTAAAAAAACAAATGTTGGTAGCTTAGGATTTTGTTTGAGGATCAGCACACATCCTTGGCTTCTAGGCTTGTTTTGCAGATTTATGTTGGAATAATTTTCTTACTCGGACTCAGCTTCAGACAGTTGTGAAGTGATGGAAATGGTTGTTTAATGTATTTTGGCCAATACTGTTGTTCCGACGGGACTTGAATTTTGATTTTGAAAATTTGTGCAGTGGCCTCCTTTTATGCGTAACCTCTCACAGGCTCAATTTATCTGCCCTGTGGCTCGCTGATCCTCGTGGTAAACCTCCTACGTACAGTTGATGTTTCAAAAGTTTTATACAACTATTTACTGTTCTTGCGCTTCTAATGTTCTGGCAGTAGATGCAGAATACTGTCGATCAAATGGATCACATACACAAGCCTATTCACTGCTCTTCATTGTATAGGTTTCAAGTACCGTTGATCTTTGAAGCCGTGGAAAAATAAAACTAGTACCCTCTACCAGTGACTAATAATATTGGACAAAAGTTATTTTCCAAAAATCCAAAAATGAATAAATCCTTTAGAAATGTTGCAAGCAATGGGGAAACTTTGACCGATATTCCAGGACTCACGAATTAGTCATTTCACCATTTGGATACTCGAGGCTTTCAGGAATATGCAATGTGATAAGGTCGTGGAAGAAGCTTAAGAAAATATACTCAAGACAGGCGCTTGCTTACACAAAATTGGATAGAAGTAACCAATTATGAACAGTCGATACAGTATTTGGAGTATTCCTATGTCTACCAGAAGGGAAGTATTCAAGTAAAGGAGGCAACATCTGAAGTGCGATATATATCATCAATGCTTAATGAAACCATCAAATACGACAGCAGTGCATCACTCAGGCGCTCTAGATACAGCATGCACTAAGCTCTCCTGAAAGAAGAAATGAAGGTGCAAGGGCCAACTTCTTGATTCCTTGTTTGTCCTTGCTAGGTCTTCCTCATTCTATTGCCACATACCGCAATGTTGCACTGTAACAAGAAACGATCATCAGCCTGTTGAGAACATCAGGTCCAAAGAGAATGCAGAAGGTTTCATAAGATAGTGAAAGTTTGGGATGACAGCAAGTTTAACGAGGATCATTAAGAGCTGTTGAAGAAACTCGTTCTCAGCGGAAACTGAATGAACTATAATATAGAACAGAGGGTATAACCAAAAAATGGCATTCTTGGAACTGGACAGCACATTGCACCAGCCGAACAAGTCACTTTAGTGCTTTAAACATGCGGCAGGACAACAATGCATGGATGTATATGATACCGCTGAGTGTTCACAACTAGGCTACCATATGTTAGTGACGTGGAGGATTTTTAAGCCCATGAACATGTGAATACTGAATACTATAGACGCCTGCAGATCAACATCAGAGTCCAAGTGATTTCATAAAATGAGGCAAAGCGGACGGAATTTCTCTTACACTTTTCGCAAATTGATATCAATATCCTGCTTTGGAATCTCAGTCGAAAGCTAAAAAGCAATAGTGTCAGGAGCAAACTAGAATAGGTTTTATGTAAGGTAGAAGTTTATTGTTAGTTGAATTCATCTATAAAATGGCACAATTTTCAAGTACCTTTTTCATTCAACACACACACAGGGGTTCAGTCGACTTTGCCCATAGGATCAGTAGTGAGATTCATATTTACTGGAGATCTTTGCTGCTGTCAAAAGCTTCAATTTGCCTCGATCATTCATATGATTATTAAATTTACATTAATCTATTTTAACCAAAATTTATATAAATTCATATCTACATATGCTTTCTAGCTCAAGGGTGAGCTTTGTAGACACTGGCAATCACGAGGACTTGGCTAAGATCCAGCATCGGCTAAATCCTTCTTGACTTATATCCCAGAAATCCTGACACTACAGATATTGGTCTTAAAAAATTTACACAACATAACTTAAAACAGGAGTTTAAGAATGCAATAAGACAGATCTCTTTATCGACATTACAGCAGAAATGGAAGGCAGAAAGCACCTCTAAATTCTCAATGCCATAAGCCATTCAAATATATGTTCAGATAAATAACATTTGATCATATAAATATAACCATCGCACTCTCAAATCAAATACATTTCATAAAAGACACACACACAAAAAAAAAAGAGTAACCAAAACTTTATCAGAAAAAATTACTCCATACAAATTTCACAAATGGGGTAATCTCGAGCTATAATAAATCACCTCAGTACGCTCCCCTGCTGCTATTAAGAATGGACCCAAGCGTACCCAACACTGCAAAAGCCAAAAGCGGACTAACATCCAAGGTATCAAAAATTGGGGGAATAATATTCCTGAAGAGATTCAAATAAGGATCACAAAGGTCTCTAATAGCAGATAACGGCTGCCTGTCCCATGGTATATTGGGAAACCAACTGAGCAAAACCCTAACCATCAAAACCCCACTGTATATATCAAGCCATTTCGCCATCCCAGCCGCCACCACCGTGAAAGGAGTGTTCAGTGCCCCAGTTGGCTGGTCTTTAAGGGCAGCAAAGAACATAGGCCCAGCAGAGTATACAATCGATTTACCCAGCCCATGAAAACCCAAGTTGCAAGCTTTGTGCAAGAACAACTTTGACGCCGTTAAGGTGATTGCGATGAGGGTTGTGATTGTGCGGATAGAGCCAGTGATTAAAGGGTCAGCTGAATTTGATTTTGTGGGTAATGGGTTTTGGAGAACAGTTGAAGATGAAGCGGAAATTGTGAATTTCTTGGGTTTAGGTGCACGGAGAGAAGAAGCTGCAAGCGAAACGAATTTGGGTTTGGAGAAATTGAGAGATGAAGAAAGAGAGAGGGTAGAGATGTTTTGATTGGGAGAGAGAAGATTATAGTTACGGAGGATTAGGGTTTGGGAAGCCATGAGAGAAGAAGAAGCCATTGGTTCTTCCGAAGATTCTCAAAGCTCACTCTCAGGGGTTTTCAACCTTTTCCTCTGACGGGAAAAAAGCTTCTTTATCTTTATGTTTTTTCAAAGAAAATGCACAAAATATTTTGTACTCTCCTTTAATTTTAATGGAGCTACAGTGAGAATTGGATGACTTTTATGTGTTAAAATATTTCAAAAAAAGTTTCAAATTTATTCCTCTTATTTTGATTATGATTTAACATAATTTTTATTATATTTTAGGTTGACAAATGGAAGGTAAAATTAAGATAGTTTTATGTGTATCTTTGACAATCTTTTCCTTTTTATAATAATCCTATTTATTTGTTTAACATTTCTACTCTATTTTGCCAAACAATGTGGTTTGTACTGTTGGATTATCTTTTTTCTTGAAGTTTAACTATATAACCTCCTAGTGATTAATAATAACATTTTATAGTCATTTGATTGACTTAAAAAGAGTTTGGTTTTTATTTGGATCAGAGGCGGCTCAATCAATATGGTGACCTAAAGCAAAACTTTAATAAGAGGCCTAAGAAATTTTCAATAAAAAAAATTACGTATATATTTTATCGGAACTGAGAGTTTGAGAAAAACATGAAGAAGACTCTGTGGCTAAAAAGTAAAAAAGATATATCGAAGTAGTTCTGATGATTCAATAATCTTATTACTTCAATCCGAAGTTCTTAGTTACTTCGACTGGATGAGTCCTAGCGAGGGAATAATTAAGTCATAACTCATTGGTTGATTGTATCATTAACCATTTCTTTTTTTTGGTACGAGGAACTTATCATGAATCCACTGATTTTTGCCGCTTCCGTTATTGCTGCTGGATTGGCCGTAGGGCTTGCTTCTATTGGACCCGGAGTTGGTCAAGGGACTGCTGCGGGTCAAGCTGTAGAGGGTATCGCGAGACAGCCTGAGGCAGAGGGAAAAATACGAGGTACGCTATTGCTTAGTCTAGCTTTTATGGAAGCTTTAACAATTTATGGACTGGTTGTAGCATTAGCACTTTTATTTGCGAATCCTTTTGTTTAATGAAAAAAAAGATTATGCTACTCAAATTATTCAATACCCTTGTTATTTGACAGAATAGATAGATGAGCTAGTATGAGGAGAGAAAAAAGAGAATTTAATTTTATAAAGAACGAGAACTGATTTAGCTGAAGATTGAAGAAAGGAAAAAAAAACTTTTTAGTCACTTGTAGGCTCACTGCCTCCCAATTAAAACACGAGAGACTAAAAACATGTGATTTATATGAAAATAAATAAATAAATTGGAATAGTTTTAATTATTAGATATATATGACTGAATTACTACATCTACAAATGATAAAAATTTGGTTATACAAAATTTATTTTTTGATATAGTAGTACTAATTTTAAGGCCTTAAAGTATTGGGGGGCCTAAAGCAAGTGCTTGACTTGCTTTAGGCTTGAGCCGACACTGATTTGGATTGAGGAGAAATAGCTTTTATTACTAACTTATTTATTTATTTTGTAAGAAAGTTCAACATGGATCAAGGACCTTCCCAACAACATTGCAATTATGTTTGAGACCTGAAGAAGTTTGATATTATTGATAGAAGCTTCACAAATATGAAAAATAGGATGCGAGTTCAAGAGGAAAAAATGTACTCCTTGGTGAGTAGAACTCCCCCACATCAACAAGCTGTTAGAACTAATGCTTCTCTATCAACTCATTCTACTCCGTTGGATCCTAATCTAATACAATAAGAGATCCACGCTCAAACTACTTATGGATAAAGAGGATTTCATTCCATGAACATCAACCCCAATCACAACTCCAACCCCAAAGGTACCCAAGGAGGGTCAATCCACAAAACCGTCAGCCACTACAAGAAGAGCATAAGGCAACAAGCTCGGCAAAGTTATGGTCTGGTCTAATTATTCCTTAGCTAGTGCACCTATAAGCCTCCTTACTACCAAGTAGTGCTTCAGGTCTTCTTCTTCTTCTTCTTCTTCTTCTTCTTCTTCTTCTTCTTCTTCTTCTTCTTCTTCTTCTTCTTCTTCACTCTCACTTTCCTCTTCAACATCTTCACTATGGTTACTATTTCTCGTTTGATATTACCCATCTTCCATGATAATAATAACTCTTTGGTTTGGACAATTCTCATGTAATGACTAAGATCATTGCACTTATGGCACCTAATGTTAGTACGAGCTTGTACTAAGCATTGTTGTCTCCTTCTTTAGACTTTACCTTAGGTTTGATTTTTTAAACTTGATTCTTAAAACCTTGTTTAATTTCTTTGTGTTTGTCCTAATATCTTGAAAGTTTTCAAG